AGGGTCCACAGCTGCTCACGGTGGTGTCCCCCAGTGCCAGCCTAATGTCTGACATACAAATGTCCCTAACAAATAGCTGTGGAGTGAATGGGAGCCCACCTGACCTCCAGGCAGCATAATCTCACAGGAGAGACAGACTTCAGGGGAAAACAAATCTCCCTGCTTCTTAGGAGTGTGACAGAGGGGGAGGAAGCACCGGGAGCCGCAAGCTGCCAGAGCAAGGCAGGAGGGAGGCTGGGGGCTGGATCGCTCCCTCCGGGGAGGCTCATCTTGGAGGAGCCTTGCCTGTGCCGAGTCACAGGGTAGAAGGAGGGCTTCCACAGGAAACTGGGGAATTTCCAGCTGTTGACACCTTCAGGGTCAGGAACCATGTCTGTGCCTCTCAGGCTTGACCTCACTGAAGTTAGTCAACAGCACAAGGACACGGGGTCCTGGATATCCTGCCAGCTACCCAGGCTCTATAGTTTTGGATTTTCCAAAATCCCATCATTTAAAAGGGTTGGAGATGACCTGCTTTGCAGGTGGACGGTTAACAAATGCCAGCACACACCTGGCAGGAGATCAAAAGAGCCAGTGGGACTGAGAACTGGTCCCCACAGCAACACTCTGCAGCAGCTGTCACCATCCTGTCCAAACAGACACGGACACAGCGCCCTTCTAGCCACACGGCCTCCATGTCAGGGTGCTAAAAGCAGCAGGGCCAGCCTCACCAGCTCAGGCTGCAGTCCTCACAGTTCTCTCCTGAAGTCAACTGTGGTGAGTGGGGACCACAATGAAGGCTACCATCCAGAGCTAAGAGTCTACAGACAGCTGGTACAGTAGGATTTTCCAGGTTCAGCAAAAATGATGTACTGCAGTGGTTACAGGGTGGAGAGGAGGGGAACAGGGGAACACCCAGAAGCTGAAAGCAAGGACGTATTTTATCCAGAAAGCACAGGTGACGTCAAGTAAGCCTGCCTGCCTGGACCAGAGGCTGCCTATACCAGGCAGAGCCCGACCTCCAGACAGCTACACAGACAGTCCAACCACGTCAGTTCTAACTGAGACTGTTAGGTGCAAGGTTCCCTCCAGACATGGCCAGGCTACTTGGTGGCCTGGTAGAGGTGCAGGCAAGGTAGAAGGTTTTGAGTATGAGAAGTCCTTTGTGAAAACTTTAACCCTGGGACAGAATGAGGGTCAAAGCAGACAGACAGCAGAGGCCTCCTCTGTGGTGTGGCCACAGGACACAGCGGGGAGAGGCTGCCACCTCTACAGGAGCCACCAAGAGCAGCCTCAGCTCAGAAACTTGTGCATGTCTCATGCACCCCGTGGCACAGGAACTGTCAACATCTCTGCCTCAGAAAACAACAGAGAAGCACAGAGGGACTCGGGGCATGGCAAAGGTAGTGCAGGGAGGGCTGGCTCCTGCTTCCTGGGTGTGTCCCCAACCTCTGTGGGACAGGACACAGACGGTGTGGAGCAGCTAACCCCGAGGAGGCACAAGCCGCAGCTCTTCCTGGTCATAACGACTCTGAACAGGGTTAGGACAAGGGCTTCCTAAAGGAAGGGAGGCACCATCACAGGAGCTTGTCCAAGCAGGCCCAGCAACAAGGGCACAAACTCCACCCCAGAGCCAGTGCCGTCCGGCACAGTAAACCATGACCCAGGTGCCCACTGTTCACCACCCCTTGGGGAGCTGACTGCCATGAAGTCACTGGGTCCCACAGGTATGGGTCCTTGTGACCTCTCCAGGCAGCCTGAGGAATGCAGCTGTGAGGCCCACCAGACCCCAGCCACAAGGCTGGGGAGGAACGGCCAGCTCCAAGACTGTGATCCCCAGTGTCTTCTCTGCCACCTCTGTCCCAGGCTCCTGTGACAGACTCACCCTGCTCTTCCATAGAGCAGGTGGGCATCTGGGTTTGGGGGTAGGGACATCCAGGGGCTGGTCAGAACCAACTGAGGTATACTCAGGGGCAGGATGGCCCCTTGGAGGAAGACTCTCAGGTGGATACTGTGCAGAAAGGTACACAGACATCTAGAGTAAAGACCCCAATTTCCTTTAAAACACATCTGCCCAGCATTACATGCTGCATATGGACAATTTCTACAGCTCTGGACAGGTGTCAAATTAGGCTCAACGATTGTTATAGAGTCTAAATATTTAGAAAATATTATTAAAATGCATAATAAAATTATTAGCCAATTCAATCCTTGGTCTTTCCATCTGCATGAATTCAGGTTTATAGTAGCAAAAGTCTGCTACTCAACCATGCCAGATGTCATTTTCAGATGAGAGAAAGAGAAAGAGACAGAGAGAGGATGTCCCTAATGTTGGTTCTCTTTAACCAAATTTGCCTACAGGGACAGTTGCTCATAAACTTACAATTAGGAAACTTGGGGGACCGATGTGTATGGCACATGCTAGGCACTCCATAAATATTTGTTTGAAGAATTATTAAGCAAATACAGAACAGGATGACAACCTCTTAAAGGAGTCAAGGCTTAAAGAGAAATGCAAAGACATTTCCTGTAGCTTTTTGTGCTAGTGTTTGAAAAGCATGAGAGTTCTGCTGGTCAACATGATCCTGAGACGCAACAGACACTAGGCCAGGACCACAGGCCAGGGGAAGGCTAAAGGGGTCTGGGAACCAGCTCTTCCACTTTCTATGCACGAACCTGAGTCACCTCCCATCATCTTCCAGGCAGGATGGTGAATCCACGCTGAGTGGGGAGACAAGGGTGACCTGGATCCAGCACAGCATCCGGAAAGTGGTAGCTATGACACTGACCAGATGCAACTGTGTGCCCAGCATGGAGGGGGTTAGTAAGGGGGTCGCAATTCCACCCATTCGAGTTTTCCCGTCTTTATCTGAGCCTCAGAGAGACAGCCTTCAAGAGTGAATTCCTCCCTACAGTGCCACTTCTCCCTCTGGTCCTGCTGTCTCATCAGGCCCATCCTGCCCTGCCCTGCCCTGCCCTGCACAGATCCATGCCTAAAGCTGAAGCTCCAAGACTGGGGAAGGGGCATCTCTTGCCTAATGGCAGCTTCCACAGCAGGCAGGCACAGAGCCTCTCCAACCCCTCTTCCCAGAAAGACCAAGTGGCTCCCTGCTCCAGCATCATGGCCAGCCCCTGGAGGTGAGGGCCCAGCCCCAAGCCAGCGTGTGAACATCTGGCAGGTGAGTGTGCTGTGGGCAAAGACCTGGGCTGGTCTCCGGCCCCACCCCTGACTGGCCGGCCTCTGGAGTGGCAGAGGATGCTCCTGTGTGAAGGCTGCCTCACCTGCTAGCTCGCTGCTCTGCTCCCGCAGTGGGCAGGAGAGGAATGCGCCTGGCTTTGTGCGGAGCTCAGTGGGCACAGGGAGATAAGTCCCACCACCCACCTGTCACATCTCTCTGTACCAAACACCGCCAACTGCACATGGACTGCTTTGGTCACCCAGGAGTCATTGTGTCCAGCTCACAGAGCCGGGTGCTACATCTAAAGTTCGTATTTTGTTATGAACTGCTTGGAGACATCTACCAGGCCAGACTCACATCAGTTCAAAGGTAGGAACTTGCCTCAGGTCCCAGAATTCATGGCACAGATAAATGGAGGCTACTTTTTCAGAATCTAGAGAGGCTCTCCAGAATGATCTGACCATCCCCAGAGCCACAGACTCCACGCACAATGAAGATGATTGACGGACACTCGCATCAGAGTTGCCTCTTTCTGAAAGGCCTTCTCTGAGCGAGCCACACCCATGCCTTAGTACCCCTGGGCTTTCCCCATCCTGTCCCTGTGATAAACGTCTAGCCACCATAATAGCCCACTCACATGTCTCCCACTCCATGAACTTTCCTTGACTGCCTCCACCGGGCAGCTGCAGCTCGTGACCCCTAGCACCTGGCACAATGCTCTGCCCTGGCTGCCCTTCTGCCTACCAGACAGGACCACCACACTGAGGCCTTGACTTTGCTGCTTTGCCTGCCTAGTGCCTCATGCAATGCCTGACCTACTTTCAACAAGTGGACCTGCAGTCTCCCCAGAGCATTCCTTCATTCAGCTACATGCCTACTGTGAGCCAGGCACAAGCCAGAAGTCGTAGCAGGCTCCATTACTTTATGAAGTACTTTTTCAGAGCACAGCCCTTCTGAAAACTCACTCAGTCTTTTCAAAACAGCATCTTCATGCCTCACTAGGCTGTACAATCCAATTTCAGTTTCCCAGACAATTGTGTCCATGTTTTCAGTTGTCAGTCTGTGAAAATGCTTGAGCCCAGCATTGATGGATGGCCATTAGGACTGTCACTAACATGAGTATCAACACTGGCAAGGAACAGGTGATCCAAAGTCAAAAACAACACCAGTTCCAAGAAGACCTTTCCCCACTCAGAATCAATACTCGTTAAGTGGGGCTTCTAAAGCGTGGAGTGGTTAAGACAACGCCTGTCAGGGCATTGTGGAGCTACCTGGGGCTCAGGTCCAGTAACTAAACCCTCTTGGCTCCTTCTCAGCACTCAGAAGCCCTAGGCACAGATGCATCCCAGTTCAAGGTAGACTGCTGTTATGGGTTGAATGTGAAGTGTTCCCCAAAAACTCATGTGTGAGACAATGTAAGAAGGTTTGGAGGTGAAATGATTGGTTTGTAGCCTTAAGCTAATCAGCGACTCAATCCCTGATGGGATTAACTGGGTGGTGACTGGAGGCAGGTGAGGTGTGGCTGGAGGAATTGGTTCTTTGGGGGTGTAGCTATGGGGTATATATTTTGTTTCAGGAGTGTGGAATCTCTGCTTCCTGAGTGGGACAGAAGACACAGACTGTGAGGACTCTTCATCACGTGAGCCACTTCCCTCTACCACACTCTTCTGTCATGATGCTCTGCCACACCTTGATCCCCAAGGGATGGAGTCAACCTTCTGTGGACTAAGACCTCTGAGACTGTGAGCCTTAAATATACCTTTCCTCCTATACAGTTGTTCTGGTCAGATCTTTGATCACTGAAGCAAAAAAGCGAACTAACAGCCACCATCAAAAGGATATGATCCTCCAGCGGATGTCCAATCTGCTGTTCACCTCCAGGCCTCGGGCTTCCTGCCTCTCCTCTTCCAGCTGCTTCGGATTTGCAAATTGCCCCTTCTCTCCTGGGCATTCCGGGACACTCTCAAAGTTGAACTTGTCCACTTGTATGGCCATTCTAAGAGAAGAGGGAGAACAGCAGAAAATTAATCAGTGGGGCGAGTTCCTCTGCGGGCTGTTAGACAATCAGCACAGGCCAGCGTGAGACAGCATAATGAATCATTATCGTTAGTAATTCATCACAGATTCATTCCAAGAAAAGGAAACCACAGACTCTCAAGGTGGCCCAGCCTGCAGAGCTGGCTCAACACAGGAGCTGAAGACGCATCTGCAGATTCAGAGCCCCAGAAGACCCACATTGCCCCAGATGCAAATTTGAGCTCTGTACAGGGAGGACGCAGAGAGGTCCCAGAATGCTGCTCAGATAGTGGACTCATATCTTAAATTTCTCCATGGACAGTCACAGATAATGCTAGCAACTTCTTGACCATAGGGGTCCCAAAAGCCCACTGGAAGACCCTCTCCATCCCCACCTACTCCATCTCCAGCCAGGTGGATGGCAGCTCCCACACACACAGTGTGCACAGCCCCGCCTCCCCCTCAGCTTTCTGCACCTCAGACCCCACAGACTCCGGCTGGGTCCCTGCTCAAGCCCACGCCCTCCACACAGAACCCCTCGCCACTTGTCCAGCCCTTTGACCTTCTGATGGTTTCCAAAACACACCATTCTCCCTGCCTGGACCTTTGCACCTGCTGCCCTGCCCCTGGGATGTTCTCTGAAGCCTTGAAATAGCTGCGCCCTCCCACCTGGGAGGCTGGAGCTTGTGAGCCCTCCCCAAGTCACCCCAGCTGTACAGCACCCTCCCCCCCTGCTGCAGAACTCCATTAACTTCTAGCAGAGTATGTACCACGAGCTTAAAGACCTCTCTGGGGCTGTTACCCGCCTTCAGTTCTAGTGGTTAGCTCCCTGAGGGCAGAGATCCTCTTGGTCTGTTTTCAGCTTCCCCAGCCCAGAATAATGCCTGGCATACTGCTGCGGCTCAGTCAGTATATCTGAATAAGTGAAGGAGTGGATTAAAAGCCTTCCTGATACCAAAAGCCAAGACTTCTCTCTTCCTGCTCACCACTCACCCAGGGTCTGGCACCTATGCCCACATCTGGCTGCACCCTGGTTCCCAGCCTAACAGCTGGCCTGTGGGAAGAGGCACCTTCATTCTGGATGCTCTATGACTGTCTATAGCCTGCCCCCACCCTGAACCATCATTTCACAGAGGCAGAGGCTGACTCACTGATGTCTGAAACGCCACCTTTTAGTGCATAGGCAGGCAGACAAAAGACACCAAATAAGTGTGCATTACATGGATGGAAGAAGGGGGTTTTCCACCTGTGAGGATCCTGAAGCTCTGAGTCAGAGTCAAAGATGACAGCATCAGTCAAGTCTACAGACAGCAGCAACAGGGAGGCACTAAGCAACCCAATGAGACTCTGCCTCTAAATAAAACACAAAATAGGGCTGGGATGGGGCTCAGTGGCTGAGTGCCCTTGAGTTCAATCCCTGGTACCCTCCCTCCATCCAAAAAAAAAAAAAGCTCATGAAAGGTGTCTTTCTGTCTTTCTTCCCCATCAGGGGAAGCACAAGAGCATGCAGCACAAAAGAGTCTTGTTTTCTACCCAGAGTGCCTCTTATCTTCGTATCCCAAAGGTAGACTGCAGCAAACCAACGCTGTTTCCAAAGAGAAGGTCAGAGTTATTTCCCATGTTTCACTAAAAAGGCCAATTTAAGTTCAATGCCAGACAACCCCAAGGGACTGAGAATTTTCCTCTTCTGACTGAGTTTGCAAACAGGCCCAGCACCAGGCTGTCTTCCACAGAACAGGGAAGGGAGGGACACCCCAGCAGCAGTAGGCATGGGTCGGAGCACTCTAGGCACTTGTGGCCCTAGGACTAGTGGATGATTATCTAGGAGTATCTTTCCAGCCATTTCTGGTTGTGAATGTCATACTATACCATCCATCTCCAACCTCAACCACACTGTAGCCAGGCATACCCTGAACGCCCAGGAGGGAAGAAAATAAAACTGAAGAGTGCCTCCTTGGAGCCAAGCCCTGTGCTGGGTGTGCTGTACTGGATTTATCTCACGACCATATACCAGCAGGGGTGGCTGCAATTTGCAGCAGGTGACAGGGCTGAGTGGAAGCCCGGCGTGAGCACCTGCACAACACCCCCACGTGGGCACCATACAGAGGCTGCCTCCAGAACTGACCCTCCTGCATCAGCTCCCTGTGCTTAGGCTGAGCACGCAAAATGAGAGGCTTTATTGCTGGTGCTGTTTTCAGAGCTGCATGGGACACAGACCCACAACTGCAGAGCCTGCCCTCCGAAGCCCGCCACCTGCATGAGCGACTGACCATATCCCAAATTCACTACAGGCCTCCTTCTTCCTGGGAGCCCTGAGATGCAGAAAAGGGAGAATCCTGAAGCAGCAGCCCCTTTCCTGCAAGCAATGAGACTGAGACACCAAGGGACTGAGTAGCCAACACAGGGCCACCCAGCGTCCAATCCTAGAGCTTGGATTCCAGCACCCATGGATCAACTCCAAAGCCAAGAATTATCCCCCAAACCACAGAGGAGCATGCCCAGCTCCTCCCTAGCTCTAACCTGCCCCTGCGCCTTCCTGCCCACCAGGAATGGAGGACAGCTCTGTGACTGGCAGCCTGGAAGCTGCAGGAGGTGCTCCTGAAGAGGAACTCGCCACCTGCGGCAAGATGGGTCCTGTGCTATCCAACAGCTTCAAGGCCAGCATCTTTGAGGAACAGCCAGCATTGAGGCTGCCCTAGTAGGGGACCCTGCTCTAAAGCCAGCACAGGACTGGCAATGGCTTCAGTGAGAACTGAAACCGTTGTGTTTGGAGGCCTGTCACATTTAAAGACACCAATGTTACCCGGGAACGGCAAGCCACTTGAAGGACTTGTATAGGACAGTGTGGCAAAACCCAGGCGTGGAAAGCAGGAGGCCAAGTACAGAGCCACCAAGGGGGGGGGGGGGGAGCAACCACCTGCTGCCATCACTCCAAAAGGGAAGGAGCTGAGGATGAATGGTGGCAATTTGCCCAGGGCTGCAGGTGCCAAGGCACACTGGGGCAGAGGAGGGAGTATGGTTTCAGGGCTAACCACTGGGGCTAGATTCCTAGCTCTCCACAGCTTGCACTGGACCTTGGTCAAGGCCTTCGTTCCCTGAGCACCTCTATGAAATGTGATCATACTGCTTGCACCTAGAGGGACAGCTGAAAGGAGTGCAATGTCTCTGTTCAGTGCCAGCTGCGGGAGCTACCACAATAAGTGCAAGTTGATGGCCAGCTTAGTGCCCAGGGCCACTTTCTGACTGCCTTCTCAAGTAGGGAGCACTCTTTCATAACAGTGACGGACTCTTGATACCTCACTGAAGCCACAGTCCTCCCCTCTTGCCTCAATGGCCTTTGCAGGAAAGCCCACCTGCCTGCTCCTGCCACTGCAACCTTGTGCACACATCCCTGTTCGCATGTGTTGAGAACTCAGACTGGCATGGGGCAGCGCACATCAGGGAATAGCTGCACAATCTCGCACTAGAGAGAGTCCAAAGTAGTTCAAAAACATGGCTCATGCTTTTGGCTAATTGCAGCAAAGCCCCTGGAAATCATTAGCCTGGGAGACCACATGAAGAGGAGGTGGGCCAGCATGCACATGGCCCACAGCCAGCCACTTGCCTCCTTTGGACCTAGGGTATCAGAGTCATGACCGTCCAAGCAGCTCCTACAGGGTGGCAGCGCTGGGTCTCTGCCCAGGACACACTGGTTCTAACAGTTCTTTGGTGGTGTTGTTCCTAACAGCTCTTTCTGTTTCAGGTAAAGAAGATGTTCTGCTGAGGGCTGGGGCTGGTCACCTCCTGTGAATGGCTACCCTGGGACAAGAATTTGGCCTCTGGCTCCCTGTCCTCCCAGGAACAGGAGAATATATTCCAGGACCTCAGAGTAGAGGCATCTTCCCAGTGAGTGGGCAGAGGGAAGAGGAGGCTGGGCCTCTCACAGCCACCTGCCGGCTGCGGGAGCAGTGCCGGGACAGGTCAGGAACACGGGGAACAAGCAGCTCTCCCTCACCTGGTCCTCTTCCATGTGCTCCTAACTCCTCTACACACAACCTGATTCTGTAAATAGGGACGAATACTTACAGGGCCAAGGGTCACCGAGGTGGGGACACTGACACATGTAACACCCTTGGCACTTTGCGATGGTCTCTGTAGGTTCACTGAAGGGACTAGACATGAATCCCAGTGGAGGGGAGGACCAGGCCCTGCACATGTCTCCCAGGACAGAGCTTCTGTGGATGTTGTAAAATGCATGATCACACTACTCCAGGGCTTCTGGAGGCTCGTCCAGGTGCGTTTTCCTCTAGTCTCCGCACCGCCTTGCTACGTTAAAGTACTTCACGGTGCAGACACCATGGGTCAGTTTTCATTTGCTGGGATAAATAAACCCTCATCTGTAAGATCCTGTGTAGTATGAGTGAGAGGGTGCTGGAAGGCAGGAAATGCATGCACTGTTCCTGGGTGCACTGGCGGCAGCCTTCCCACCCCCTGGCCTGCTGTGGCCTATGCAGCTGCAGGACTGGTTTCTAAATCTGCCTGGGTCCATCTGACCCTGCAGGACACTGAGGACAGGGAAGACTCCCCCCCCCCCCCCCCGCCGTCCCCCTGCCCCGAGCCTGTGCTGAGAGAGCCTATACACACACAGTCTTGTCTATGCTTATGTTGAGCCTATGATCCCACCCTCACTTGACAGAGGGGTAAATGGAGCTCAAGAGCATCCACGGAACCCAGCATGGTCTCTGGAGTGCAGTGAGACAGCAGGCAGGAGCTCAGGCCCCACAGAGCACCCGAGCTCGGGGGCCCACCTGGCCCTCCCTCCGGGGCTTCCCTGAGTCCCCTGCCACCCCTGCCCTGCAAGCCCACTGGAAGGACTCTGTAGCCAGCCCTTACTGACCCTCACTCCTGGTATCCAGGCTTATTGGCTTAAGGTTGAGGGCCACATCTCAGTTACTTTAGCCTCCGCAGCCTGGAGCTGGCTCTATACATTTGTTAAGAGAA